ACACCTCATCTGAAGACGGGAACACGCTCATCGGCTGCCAGAGGTGCACATTTGATCCGAAAACAGTACAATGTTTTCGGCGGGACGCCTCCGCGCATTTCGGAAGCACCTGAGAAGCCCAACCGCACGGTGCAGTTATTAGCTTAGGCAGTCCGATCAACACTGGATGCCGGCTGGATGCCGACCCAAAACTGAATGGGAGCTCCTCTGATATAATAGTACTCCTTCCACGGTTACTAAAAGTGGGCTTTGATATACTTTCCGCCCTAGAGTCCAGCCCTCGCCCTCCCAGAGATCCAAATGTTGAAGTTGCACTCACGTTCTTGTAGTCTGGTTTCGAGTATCTCGGCTTTCGGGCACATAAACGAAAACCCAGATGCCTCGGCACGCAAATAAAGAATTCAAAACAGTTGCTGCCACGGCGACAAGTGGCAGTGTAAGTGGTGAATGCGCCAACATTGGCAAATGAGTGGCCAATAGCCCGTGACCGTCATATCACTCCCCGCTCGGTGAGATTTGTGTGCGGCATGGCATGTGGCTGCAGGGCACAGTGGACACCTCGCCTGGTTGGCTGGGAGCCTTGCTGGCTGCCTCAGAGCGTGTCAACGTCGAGGCGCGAACACTGTGCCGCAACAAGCTTCTAGTATGAGTTATTAGGTATTACCACTAATCATACAGCATATATATACAGTATATATATATATATATATATTTTTTTTTTTTTTTCGGTATCCAGGGAATGTATACAAATGTATTAAAATTCCAATGTATGTATGGATACAGCTCCGACTGAAATATACCCTGATTCGTAAAAATATATATGTATACTAGCTGACCCGACAAACGTTGTTTTGCCACCAGATGACTTTATAATTTCTGTACAAAATTGACTTACTTCTAGACTTATCTATATATAAAATTGGCTATACCGATTACACAGTGCGACAGTGGTTTGGAACTTTTGAAGAGACCTAGTAGGAATTGTTCATTAGGTCGAGTATAGTATAAAACCATGTTTGAAATTTTTCCTACACCCTCAAATCTTGATTTATTGCGAAAAAACGGTTTTTCGAAAGTGTTTTGCTCTTAAAAATTCCTGAACGCGCAATTTTAGGCCGATTTTCAATTTTTTTATGTTTTTCAATAGTTAAATGTTGTAGCTTTTGAAAAAAAATACATCTTCAATTTATTTAAACAGAAAGGACACAAATTTTACAAAAGAAACTGACTTTTTTGAATTTTTGTCACGTTTGTCGAACTTTGACGCCATTTTTTCGGTACAACTTCCAAGAAATGGTATCATTCTTAACACATATTAATATTGTCTCATTAATCCTGAATAAAACAAGACCAATTTGATATCTTATTTTTATTGATTTCATAGCTTTTATCAATGTTTAAAAATGCTAAAAATGAAAAAATAAAAGCTATGAAATCAATAAAAATAAGACTGACAAGAATAATCTTCCATTGAGTTTCTATCTTTCTGTTAACTTACATACTGGTACTTACATACTGTTACGGTGCGCTCGAATTTGAATTGACTTGTTTTGGGAAAAGCGTAATAACTTCAACAATTTTCATAATTTCGAAATCAAATTGGTCTTGTTTTATTCAGGATTAATGAGACAATATTAATATGTGTTAAGAATGATACCATTTCTTGGAAGTTGTACCGAAAAAATGGCGTCAAAGTTCGACAAACGTGACAAAAATTCAAAAAAGTCAGTTTCTTTTGTAAAATTTGTGTCCTTTCTGTTTAAGGATGTAGTCTCATGTTCCGGTCTACTTTTTAGAGGTTATTTCAAAAAATTTTTTTTGGAATAAAAAATAATGCGATCGGTCCAATTTTCACATATGTTTTTATAGGCATCATAAACTATTTGAAAATATTTTGTTTAATTTATTCTTGTGTAGTTTAATACACTTAATAGCATGCCAAAGTATGCATATAAAAAAAAAAGGTAGGTCCCTGGCGCAGGTGATTTCGACTGCTAGAGTCATCCGAAACAAAAAATTAGAATAGATTATTGGTTTGTAAGCTTATGGCTCTGTCCCGTACTAGAATGAAATATTTTCATCAATAAACAACAAAATAGCGAACTCACAAAACAAAATATTAAAAAAAATTTTAAATTTTAATCTTAAATTAATGATAAAAAAAAAACTAATCATTAAAAATTAATGATTCTAGTACGGGACAGAGGTGTTACTTTTTAGAACAACATATCCAAATTTCAGCTAGATCGGTACTATAGAATTTTGTGAATCACCTGCGCCGCACACAAAAATGTCGTTCCGAGAAAAACGCGTTTAAAGTTTAGACGCTACCGAGAAACTCATACTTTTCGGTGTAGGCGCGCTCTCGATTATGGGCTGTATCTCTGTCATTATTTGATATTTTTATTTGAAACTTTAACAGTACATTCTTAATAAACAATACTATCGAAATATGTGAAAAAAAAAAATCGATTTTTTCAACCTCACACATGAGACTACATCCTTAAATAAATTGAAGATGTATTTTTTTTTCAAAAGCTACAACATTTAACTATTGAAAAACATAAAAAAATTGAAAATCGGCCTAAAATTGCGCGTTCAGGAATTTTTAAGAGCAAAACACTTTCGAAAAACCGTTTTTTCGCAATAAATCAAGATTTGAGGGTGTAGGAAAAATTTCAAACATGGTTTTATACTATACTCGACCTAATGAACAATTCCTACTAGGTCTCTTCAAAAGTTCCTCCAACTTTTCTTTTTTTGTCGCACTGTGTTATCTAATTGAAATGGCTATACCGATTCTCATGAAATTTTGTGAGCGTATTGAATGATTGTTCGACATTATCAGTATTTTTTCGACGATATCTTTGAGGAAATCTTTAGGGAAATTTGTAGTACATTTTCCATCTGCCATGCAAGGCGATTAACTATTAAGAGTACCACTTGGAACATGAATCTTGTTTGTTGTAACAATTTCAAACAGCAGTTGGTCAGTGGATGGATCTAGAATTTCCACAGAAATAATACTATTATAATACTATCTATTTCTTCAGGACGGATTTTGTCGATTAACCAAACCAAAATGTGTGCATGAGGTAATACTCGCTTTTGCCACTCAACCGAATAAAGCCAGCAACGTGTGGGATCGAATACATGTAATTTAGTACTGAAACCTAGACTTCCTATGTACGACAGCGTCCCGCAAATGAATGTACTCTTTCTTGCGCAGCTTTATTTGATTATATCGTAAGTTCATAGTCGTTCGTTCTCAATCTTCGCGTACATGTCGACCATGAATTGTTAACAAAGCTCACAACATCGTAGAATGACGTTGTCTAGGCCATCGGTACGCATAATAATCCTTTGAGCTAACGTTCTTGTTGGTTTCAGCTTGGGTTCAGCTCTAACACGTACACAGTATTTTGTTGCCGGATTTGTTCTTCTTTCGGATCTTCTATTTTGTATGTTTCGAGATCTACATACTTGTATCACGGCTCAAATCACCCCCTTTGAGTTATCTTGGCATTGCTCACTGTACAAAACACTCATAAATAGAATTAATGTATTTATCTAATGATGAAGGATTTTGCCAAGGTTTAAATTGAGTTAAAAAGCTATGGTAGCGTGAGTTTGTCAGTATGTCGAACAGGATTTAGGAGGACGAAAAATAGATGTTGGCGGATTCTCAAACCTACTCAATACGCTCACAAGATTTCATGACAATCGGTATAGCCGTTTCGGAGGAGTATGGTAAGAAAAACTGTGACTTGAAAATTTTATATATCTTTTTCCTATATAAATGTAACATGTATGCTGAAATATTAAAATATTTACTATAACAAATAATATAATTTCTTTCGTCATTTCACCAAATAGCGAATAAACAAATTTTGTTATGGTAGCAAGCCAGAAAACTTAGAAAAATCAAAATTTTGTGCGCTGCCTTCGAAACGAAATCGCACGCACACATACACCTGTGTATGTGAATGTGTGGCACGCATACATACAAAGATCAATCCAAGCGCAGACCTTCTTCATCGCGCTCCTTTCAGAGACTGAGAAACCAAAAGCATTCAATGAGAATATGAGCGTAAGATGAACGAACGATGAGCGTAAGAAAGAGAGTAAGAATTCCCTCTGGGGCCTGTCGCAAGAAATTTCTGCGTCTATTTTTGTTGTATAAAATGGGTTGTCTATATGCTGTATGGTTAGTGGTGTTACATTAGAAACTTTCATTCTCTCTCTACTTTATTAATTACATATGCATACATACACATATGCGCAAAACAGTGTCGCTTAGGTGACGCTAAACATAAATATTGCTTATCTATTATTGCAAGTGATTGTTCTTTGGGCAATAGCCGATGTTGAGCTTCAGGATTATATGTCTCTCTTGACCAAAATCTTTTGGTGGATAGCTTATATACAAGTACAACTTGTACTTGTACTTGTAGTACAACTGTAAAAAAGCTCACATATGCTAAGCATGCTAATCATTTATTGTGTTATTTTCCAGTTTCCTCGTTTCTTTTTTTGTGAAAAGCATTTATTTTTTCGTTTTGTAAAGCCTTTATTTATACTTTAGCTTAGTGGTCGGCACCCCAATACATTGATATGATTTTACCGCATTAGTGTTAGTAACGAATAGCAGAAAGTAGGCTTTGAGCATGACGTTTCACACATTTATACTGTGTGTGTGTGGCAGAGCTCGGGCAGGGAAATTTCCTATGCCCCCGAGATAGGGCCGTGCCGACCTCTGCTTTAGCTTGAGAGTAAAAACTAATAAACTAGAATACAGCATTAAATTGTTATTGTTTTTTTTAAGGAACTGGGCCTTTAAAAATTCTGCTATTCTGAATCTATATACCAGTAATTATTAACATCATATCTGGATTATTGTCGTGTTAATCCTCAATTTCTTTTTTTCTTTTAAATTTCTTTTTTTCTTTTTTCTTTTTATTTTCTTTTTTTAATTTAATTAATTTTTTTTAAAAACTTACTGTTGTTAAGGTTTCATTCAAGTCTGGGAGCTGCAGATGTTCGATTCCAAGCTTGTGAAGATGTGCAACCACCATTGGTGTTACCACATCAACCTCTTCATTAATATTTGTCCAGTCGCTTATATCTTTATCAATTTTACCATATACACTAACATTTCTGCATTTTAAAAATAAAATAAATATAAATGATAGTAATAAGATAAATTTTTTTTTATTAATAACGAGATGGAAAACCTCTCTTCGACCGCATCCGAAGTTATTATACCGCAGTGTTTCTTAAGTTTAATAGTATTTTCTTAAATTTGCGTGGCTAAGAGAGCGGGTGACTTCAAACGCTAAAGGTTAAAATTCTGGCAACTGCTTAACGGAATTATGTTGTTTGTAATTTGTTTTAAGTTTATTTTATATTTTACCTAGTATAACATTCAGCGTTATGAACCGTAAAATTTTCCGAGCTTGTAGTAAGAGCCTTTTTTTATTATGTTTAAGTTCCTGAGGCACCTTACCAAGGAGGATTTGTTGAAGCGAATATGTCCATTTGTTTTTTGTGAACTTTTTTGAAAATCAGTTTTACGGAAACAGCGAATCTTATTTGCCACGCGTGGAAACTTGTGATCGATACCAGAAATGGTTTCGATTGAAACCTTAGGCGTGGGGTGACATAGATTCTTTGGGGTTGAAAGGGGCAGAGCTCTGGAAAAAGTGGTACCATCAGGATCAGATAAAAAATATAAATCTAATAGCCGACCTAACGAATTTCAAACATGCTTAATTTGACCTAGGGACATGTTAAACATGCCCATAATCATGGTGCGTGATAAGTGATGAAGATGGTGAGTTATCGACATTAGACCTCTTTAGTACTGGGAAGTCGAAGTCACCCAGAGCTACAATGTGGTCACAATCGGTCATAAGATCAAAAACGGATTGAACAGCGCACAAATTATGCTAGAATGTATTCGGTTCAGACGCAGGAGGTATGTATGAGCAGATAATGTATAAAGATTTAGCGGCCAGAACGAGTTCAATCCAAATGAAGTCTAAGTGACCAAACTTTTGTAATTTTTCCCTTTTCAGAAGCAAGTTGGGAGTCTACCGAACAGTGGCGGATTTAAGTAAAAAGGCCCAGTGGGCAAAATAAATATAGAATGTAACTTTAATTTTATTCTTCAGTGTACCCACATGGATGGAAAAAAAAGTCTTCCACCAAAGTATTGGTGATTTTTTGCATTGGTATGGGAGTTTTCTCAGAGCTTGGCACCACTCTCCCCGTATGCAGAGCTTGGGCACCACTGGTTTAGAGAGTTTGCTACGTAAGCCCCAACTATTTTGATAGGTACGTTTTAGTGACGATTTTAGTTTGGTGAATTTGTGGATGAAGAAGAGGTCGAAAATCGGTCAGTGGTTCTAACATGTGGAAATGGATTACAACTTTTTTTCTTGCACATCAGCGCGGGCACACGAATCTTAAGAGAAGACGTGCGCCTTATATATTTATATTTATTTTTAGTTATGTCCTCCTTCTTTATATCGGCTTTTGTTTTGGCTTTGATATCTCGGCTTATATATATCTCTGAAGTATCAGGGGCAAGCCGAGTAACAAATATATTTTTTGATGGAGGAAGCTTTTATAAAGCTTCTCAATGATTCTCAACCTGTTTCGCGTAGAATTTCGCGTAGAATTTTGTATGTACACAATATGTACTTACATACATGCTTAAGTGAACACCTCAACCAGCCCAATTCGAATTTTGGTTTAGAAGTTAATCAAGGACACTCAAAAACTCATGTAATTCAAGGTCTACGCGCCTTGAACACCATTGGTGTACACCGTTGGTAGAGCGACTATATTCTTTACGCGAGGGCGGCTGGTACCAAGTGCCGGTTCGTTAATGTCTCTGCCGAGGATGCTGGCTAAACGTAGTCGGGCGGGGAGAAGAACACACATTTCCTGCCGGCCCTTTAGTTTTGACCAGGGTTAATTTGACAAGCGGGCTTTGTCCCATCTACTTGTGGGTCCAAAATATGAATTTAACCAACTTAAATAAAAACCAAAATGGAGAACGGAACTTCCTCGAAAAGACCGGAAATGGGGTCAATGTCCCGTCAAACTCCAAGGCTCTCAAAGAACAAGGAGTTGCTGAAATGGAGAAGCTCTCAACAGAGCCGAAGAAGCCGACTGGAGTAGGCAGCTCTACCAAAGAGATCGCAAAGATTGCGAAACGGAAGTGGTCGCTCCACGACTAACCGATCGTTCGGTTGGCGGAAGAAGTTGCCGGACCTCCGGCGAAAGGTAGCCAATGAGCTGCATGGGCGCTTCATAAAGGAGATGCTGAAGAGCGGAGGAACCCCACCAAAATGCAAAAACTCAGGCTGGTATCAGGGTAGCATGCCCGGGCCCCCGATCAACAGCCCTGTAGAAGAGAATGATAGCTACACTTGGAGAGGTCTACCATTGGCGGATACAAGGGGGGGATAGGGGCGATCGCCCCCCCCAGCTTCTGAAAAAAGGTTTATTGTTTATATTGTTTATTGTTGGAAACTGCGTATAATTTTTGATTATTTGCCACCTACTACTTATTTATAATTATTATTAATTTAATTATTTAAATATTATTAATTATAATTATTTATAATTATAACTATTTAAAAAAAAATTATGAACGCCCCCCCCCCACAGGCAGATACCTGTATCCGCCTCTGAGGTCTACCATGGTGCGAAGCTGGAGGCGGTTGACTGGGACGAGGTCCCCAGCAAGCCGAGGGCGCGAGTATGACTCAACGAAAAGCGCACCGACCCTAACACCGTACTAGCAATTCTGAAAATGTGATAGTCGCCAAGGTGGAGGATTACGGAGGCAGGTTGTTCTTACGCTAAATGAGGGCACTGCGACGAGCTTGTTACGGTCCGGGTTTACAAGTCGGATGCCAAGAGAAAGACTGGATGCATCGAGCTAGAGATAGACGTCCAAGAGCCAGACTTGGAGAAACCGCCCGAAGAAGAGCACCCGAAAGGCATCAGCTGGCCTCTTCTCCACCTCGCCGAGAGTGGAACTGATGCGGTTTTCATCCAAGAACCCTGGATCCTTGAAAACAAGATTCTGCCGATACAATAGGTATCGGAAAGGAAAAGGAAAGGCTCATTAGCCTCCATATTCATCTTACCATTGACACAAATTACTTCGGGATCGCAGCCCTTCCTATACGCGGGCTGATCCACGCAGATGGCTCTCCATGAGATTACTACGCTCGTCGAAAAGGCACTTAGTGAAAAGAAATACGCCTTTATTACTTTACTGGACATAAAAGGTGCGTTAAAAAACATCCTGCCGTGTTTAATAACCATTGCACAATGGATCAATGGTGGATGCAAAGTTATTTCTTATGCGTATGATGTTGCAATTGCCTGCACTGGAAAATTTCCACTGACTATGCGCCCGCATGACGGACAAACCGGTTCTCTCAACACTGATGGCAGATAAGATCGGACTGGGAGTCAACCCTTCCCAGACCGAACATGTCCTTTTCCCTAAAAAGTACAAAACTCAAGTTTAAGGCTTCCAAATATATCAAGGTCAATTCAAACAAATAAAAATTTTAAAAATAAAAAAATAACAACAAATTCTAATTAATTACAAATTCAATATAAACACGACGAATCCGTTAAACCCGACCACATTGCAGGCCTCCATCCGAATTCAACTAACGGGCAGCCGCGCCAGCTTGTGGACTGCTCTCCTATACTCCGCTCCGGAGCTAGTCCTGACGACGGGGACCCTGATCCTTCCGTCCGCGCCGCCGTGTGTTGCTCCGACCCTTCCGGTGAGCTGCCGGATGTCGTCCTCTTGCTGCTGCCACTTCGACCGCGCCTGTAGGCCCAAGACGTACCCCCGGGACCATCGCTGCCAATACGTTTGCTTGATTGACGAAACAAGCCGCTATCGCCGCAAGCACGTTAGACCCTGCTGGTCCGGGGTCCGTGGTGCTGGTAGGGCGATGAGCGGCCCACCTGTCAATAGGTGCCCGGGAGTAAGCGACTCGCCGTCGCTTGGGTCCTGACTCAGAACCTCAGAATTCTATTTGACAGGTGAGGGAACAATATCAGAATTCACTACTAATCCTTTCGATTTCCTTATAAAGCGAAACATATAAACGAACCCTCGCAGCAGTTTTAGGTGAGAGGAATATGCTTCTATCACTTCCAATAAATATGAGCTAGAGACGATTGCGGTTTATCCGACCGCATTCATTTTTGCTTCCATCTGTAGATCCCATAGGTTCTCATCGATGCGTCAGAAAAGGCATGAATTTGAATCGGTGACACCGGCTCGGTAAACGCGAATCTTGGAATTGAGATTTTCTCTTATTGCGACAAGGCAATTTGTATTCTGTTTCACGCTGTTTTTAAGTGCCGTGCAATTGACTCATCCCAATCTAGCTTATTTAGCCAAAGTACCTGCAATGGGATCTTTCCTTTTATAAGTATAAGGCTTAATAAGCCAAGGGGGTCAAAAAGTTTCGATGTCACCGAAAGAATGTTCCGCTTGGTCGCCCTTTGACCCATGACTAAAGCATCAATTTCAAATTTAAATATATCTTCCTTAGGAACCCTAGCGATTTCTTATGCTTTAATCAGTTTTGAGTCCGAAGGTGTAACTGGCTTAACCGTGCTCTCGGATCTAGAGTTTGAAAATCACTTGCTCAATTCAAACCCAGCGTTTTGAAAAACCTGAGTTACTTCAGACTTAATTGTCTTTAACTACTCAATGCGACCAGCACCCGTTAACATGTCGTCGACTGAAAAGTTGGACCCAATAACTTCGCCAGTTCGAGGGAATGTATTTTTCACAGATTCACTCAACCTCTTCGAACAACTTATGGCCAGGAATGGGGCTGGCGCAGTGCCACCTCGCAGCTTTGGCTAAGAATACAACTGGCGTAGTTTTTGACGCAATGTACACATTCTGTGGATTTTTCCTATAGTTTTCCGTATGGTTGCCTCCGCAGTTTCCACATTTCTTCACGGCACTGTCCTTGTTTGTTTGAGCAGAGATACACAGACAGTCCGAAGTGTGCAGTATGACCTGATGTGTCCATACTCTTGGCAATTAGTGCATTGCACTGGACCGTTGCGTTTATGTGGCTTTTCAACAGTGA